ACACGGTGCCAAATCCCAGAAGACTGCTTTCTTCATAGTCACCGCCGTGAAAACCTCAAATCTTACAAGCCGAATACTGGTTAGATTCAGAAATTCGGCTTGAATGAAATACCCTGAAGTTCCTAGGTACCTAAGAAACTGAAATTTCTGGCAGTACGTGGCCACACCCAGGAAACTGGCAACCACAACGCAACCGCAATTTCCGAGAAATTGTCGCCGATATCAAGCAGGCAACTGGTTTCCAGGTTAGCAGACGCTCACTGAGGAAACTTATTGTCGCGTTTTACCTGGCGACCTACTCCTGTCCCCTAGGTAAAGCGGCGAATAATTTCATGTGGGTCTCGGATTCAGCGATTATTTATTTGACACACTCTTATCCACACTTACAAGTCCTATTATTATCACTTATCACGACCCCTTAACGTTTCTTCAGCACTCACAATTCTCGGTGAGGCGTCTGCTGATTTGCTCGGTGACTGCTAAAACTCGACTCCTCTCTTCGAAGGTTGGAAATCTACTGCTAATGCTCAACTAACTCCGGTGAATGCTAAACTGCAACTGAAATCCTTATCGTCAAAGTCCGTCTCATTGCGACCGACGGTCGGTCAGTCAGTAAGTCTAGGTGTTGAGCCCTGACTCCAGTTTTCTCCAATGTTAAAAATGGATTTATTATTGTATAAATACATATTAACTACAAAAGCTGCACAACTTTGAAATGATGACTGGAAGTCGAACATCTCGATGACAGGCACCGATTTTCAGGCTTTTTGTTAACATGGTCCGATTTGAGTCAACAAATTTCCCGATGCTGGGTGGATTTTTTTTTTTTTACTCCATGTTATTCGGAAATTATTTACGTCGTCCATTTGTTCACCATGGCTTTAATGACCGTAATGACTACGTCTTTCACAGGGAAAATCTTGCAAGGCCTATGTCACCTTGGTTCCCTCTCAGAAGTTATTACGTATTTATGATATACAGCGTATTATGTATGCTGATGCAGGATAGTCTGGTCAATGCTAGTTTAATTCAGTTGTTAACATGGCCATGTTACGGCATGCCGCGGGGAGTATGAAATATTTTGTGAACGTTAATTCACGTTGTACAAGAAACTGCTCTGCTTCGACAGAAACATTCAGCGACATTCCATCACCACAGGGCATTTGGCCAGTAATTGGACATGCCCATCTCTTTGGACCAACGGGTTGGTTGATGTTATTTCTTAAACTTCGTGTTAGTGAGTGTAATTTATAGCCAACATTACAAAATAAAATTGCATTTCTAAGGCAATGCTATAGTTTACTGCAGAGCATGACAATGTCTTAACAGTGTTTAAATGATGGATATTATGACTGCAAAAACTGACATATTCTATACATCCTATACATTTTTTATTTAGGCTGAGTTCTAATTTATCTACATAACAGTCTGCTAGGGATGTTATATGCAGCCAGGTGTAATACGTATATCTGCAGTTGATATGTGCTTTCACTGTCCAAATGTGTCTATCCATGCCTTCTATCCTATGTACACTCTTCTGTAACCATGTTTCGGCCTCACACGGCTATACTCAAGCGTAGTACTGATCTCTGTTAACAACTTTGTTGCAAACACTACCAATACCAATTGATGCAGTGCCGCAACAAATGTATAGTACACTGTTAGAAACGCAATGTATCTTTGTATCTTGTTAATCCCTGATCGAGGCAGGGCGTTTCAATTTAAGCATCAACAATGCCTTCTGCTGTTGCTGTGATGTAAGAGAAAATCCATCCTGCTTTCTGGTGTTGCTAGGATATGGGGGAAAACACTAATTATCTTCTGCCATTATTTGTATATGGAGGAAAATCCAAAGTCGTCTGCTGCTGCTAGATAAGAGAGAAGACTGATGACAGGGCAAAGATATAAATGGGATGGGACAGAAATTCAGGAGGAAAGCTTGAAGGAAATGATGGTATTAAATGGATACAATTATGGAAAAATGGAGGTGAGGGAGCTGTTTTAACTTGAATGAGAGGAATGGAGGGGGAATGGAATGATGATAGAAAGGAAGATGGAAAATGAAAGTAGAATCTCCCATCAAATTTCATGAGTAATGTAAGCAACCACCATGGATAACAAACAGTTTCTGAAATTGCACTCCAGAGTTTTCTGTAAAGGAACACTACTATATATATATATACTCATAATTCCAGATTCCTGTTCAGTGTTTGCTAGGAACTCTTCCTCTTACATTAAAGTGGCTGCAGCTAATCACTCACTCTATCCCAGTGCCAAACTTAACAAGTTACAGAGCTTTACCTCCATACTCTCTACATGCCTTCATGCCATGGTTTGTAGGGACAAGGCTAGCTTTATCTTCTTACATGATAATTGTCTCCATAACATTGCAAGGGTATCAATAAGTCCACAGCAGCAATGGCCACTCTTTATGTGATCAACCTTATTAAAAGTTGTATAGGCTTCCCTAGGATGGATAATACACTGTATAGGAATACGGAAACTTTTAGGTCAACCAATTTTAATGTGTAAACTTATCTACAGGATTTATGTGTATACAGTGTTTCTTTCCCCTTCTAAAAGCATATTTCCAGTACTCACATGCTCTATTTTAGCCTTGTGGAGTTGAAACATAAAGTGCATTAGCAAATGTGCAACTCTTGACATGTTCACTGGTATGTGTTAATTGTTTGCATGCATGCATGTGTGTGTGTGTGTGTGTGTGTATGACAAGGTCTCTACAGTATGGTGACCATGCAGCTGAGACTTTAGCATGCACCACATTATATAATCTACTGCCAAGTATGTCACAGAGTTTATGACATTATTTTATTCATGCTAATCAGGCACAAAACAAACATGGCCCAAAGTAAATTACATTATAGCGGCCTCTGTAGTCTAGGGGTAACGTTCCCACCTCATGACTCAAGGTACGCGGGTTCAAACCCGGCCGAGGTCGTGGAATTTTTAAGGGCGGAAAAATTCAGGGAACAAGTCCTCCGGGAGGGACTTTAAGCCGTGGGTCCCGTGTCGCAGATTTACAGCACGTAAAAGAACCTCATGTGTCTAGGAGACCTCTGAGCTAAATTTGGCAAAAAGTTTCCTGCCCAAAGTAGTTTCCAATGCCTCCGGTAGATGGGGAAGTATTAGGTACCACTGCCAGAGGAGGGGGACCTCTCTGACAGAAAGGGACTAACTATTAGATACTACTGCCAGTAGAAGGTTGGAACCTCACTGGCAGAAAGGGGCTAATAGTGAGCACCAGTACCGGTAGGGTATGGAGACCGTAGAAATTAAAAGGGGGATGCACATTGGACCAATAACTGGTCTAAGTGCATGGGGAAACCCAACCCCTCTATACTCAATACTCAAATTACATTATATCAAACAAAACTCCTCTAACCTAACCTGTTGCCAAATTCAGATTTGTCAGAAAAAGATAGCTTTATCTTACAGTATGCTCTGCCACTTTTTATGAGCTTTACAGCCTCAATTGCTTCTGTGAACTTGCACAGGTCCATATAAAGCAGAGCGACTAACAGAGGCTGTAATGGACTTAAGTAGACAGCTGGGACCAGTGTTCAAATTGCGACTCAGTGGTGCAGATTCTGTTGTGACTGTGGATGCTGATGACACCAGAACAATGTTTCGTCATGAAGGCCGCCACCCTTTCAGACCTTCATTTCCTGCAGTTCAGCGCTATCGACAGAAGAGATTTGGCAGCATGGGCATAGTTCCAGGGTAAGTAAAGCAGTATGAAGTGCGATGAAGACTGAGGTGTCATTTCTATGTAATTCTTTATCCATAACACAATTACAGCTGAAAATACTGATCCAGTTGTAGTACCATCATGGTCCCATGAGCAATGTACAGGAGCCACTATCTCCATATCTCCACTTCAGAAAGTGGTAGTTATTCAGCTGAACAAGAAATTTCTTGTGTTTGCAGAATTTGAGGATTTGTCGCTATGTACATATAATCTCACCACTGGACCATAACCTGAGCCAGTTGAATCATATATTTACATCATATTTATCTAATGCCAATTTTAATATTATCCTTCAAATATGCCTAGGTCTCCCAAGTGACCAAAATTTTGTACACATTTCTTACTTTCCTACATGTTCATCATGTCCTGCTGATCTTATTCTTCTTGATTTAATCATTCCCTGGTAATATATGATAATTGTGGTGTGTGATCTTTCTCTTCTTTGATGTAAAGAGCCAACTATGTGGTTTATAAACTTCCATAATTATCAAGCACATCAAGTTATACTCACACTCCCCTGTGTTATCTCTAGTACCTGTGTCCATTTCATGTGGAGAGACCTGAACACAAACATCCATCAGTCATGCTACCACCGATCACAGTTCCCAGATTTCAGAATTACACATTTTGCTATGTTACATCACATCATGTCTATTGCATTAGTGTTAATATCTATCACTAAAGTATACGTGTATATCTACAATGGATATTTTTTGTGCTGTAGGAATGGAGAGGAGTGGTACAAGTTCCGTGCAGCTATACTGCCCCTTTTGCATCCTCGTGTTGTCAAGGCCTATGCTGATAGGCATACACAAGTGGCAAGCAGATTTGTGGATTACATTCAAATGAAGATAAATGAAACATCCTCAGAAACTATAAATGATATTTGTCAGGACTTAATGAAATTTAGTATTGAAGGTACATCATCACTATATGACAAGCAATCATTTAACACAGTGCGAACTGGAATGTTTTAAAATGTAAATTTCCAAGTTTTCCAGGCTTCTAATGTTACTGTTCGTGACTGAGCAAAATTGTTGTATTAGAGTTGCAGGCTATACAAAGGCTCTGTTAATGTCTTTAAGAGCAATGTCTCAGGAAATGAATTCATATGCTGTGTAACTGAAAGAACTTTCAGATATAGAGTAAAGTTGTCAGTAGGCTTAATTAAGTACCACACTATGAAAGACATATTAGAGAATGGAGGTATAGTTCCCTGCATTCTTAACCTCATCACTGATGTAGGTGACTGGTCAGCTTCATGTCTGGCCAATTTACTCCTGGGGAAATAGCCCCCACTACTCACAGAATTTGAAGCTGTGTAGATACCAGAGCCTGTCTGGATGCTGAGGAAAAGAGGAAAATCTCCTCTTCCTGTCAGGAATTGAGCCCTGATTCCTTGGTCATCTGGTCTCTAGCCAAGTTGTTATACTGTCTGAGCTGTCCTAGCTCTCCCTTGCAGATATATGTTTTGTATGAAATCTGAGGTATTCACAGCAGTGAAGATAAGATTGTGGTCATTTGGGTTATGACACCATGTAGTCTGATAGCAGTTATAAAACCTACTGACTTCATCCTGAGGGATGAATGCAAAGCAGTGGTGAGGTTTTATCTTAGCATCAGTCCATCCATTCATTTTTTACATATAAAACCACTTGAAGCACTTCAATTCAATTAGGTACTGAGGGCCTGTAATAAAATTTGTTAGGTAAATTTAATCTCATTTGCATTGATCCTGTTAATTCCTGCTTTATAAATAGTCTCAAAATTTGAAAAAAGTATCTCCATTTAGTTCATGCAATAATTAAGGAAATATAACAAAAATAATTTATATTTCTATTTCCTATGATTTTTATAATGTTCATTGGTTCTGGAAAAATATATCTGCTCTTATGACAGATGTATATTTCAGTTGCATCTGTAATATTTCTTCCATAGAACAACTTATATGCTAACAGATATTTGTCAACTTCTATGGAGACAAATATTTGTTTGTGTTCAGCTGTATGCTTACATACAGTAAATGGGACTGATGAATCTGAATACCCTGAAGTTTATAAAATCTTCAGATTAGTGAATGCTGTTATATAATGATAGATAACATTACAATTATAATAGACAATAATGAGTATACGCAGCACAGCGGGCCAAGAAATCATAACGGACAATATTAAGAATCTCCCTACTCAGTTACATAGGTGGCACATCAGCCACCTTGAAGAGAGACAACAGAGGTTATTGACACGAACCGTATGGTTTATGAATTTTAATTTTTAACAAAGTTTTTAAAACTTTAAAACAACTTTAAATATTTCTATAACCAGAAAGGCTGCTGTGACTGATAGATGGAACATTGTGTACTTGGACATTACATGTGTATTTGATCGACAACTGTTGTGATAGTGGTTTCAAAAAAGTGTTTGATGCCTCTGAAGATGATCCAAATGGACCGAAACATGTAAGGCTAGTGAATCATCAAGTGAGATAACTGAAATAGTCACATTGGACGGACTTGTCTATTATAACTGTAACTGTTAGTGTGACGGACCAAAATGAAACAAATCAAATAGATAACATTTATTGTTTAACAACATATAGCTTGATAAATGATAAAACTCCGTCCCAAGTGCAAACAATATGTATTATATGTCTTTGATCTTGCTCTTCTACACTACATGTTTCGGCCTCTAACAGCCATCATCAGGTGTATACTCTTACGTTGCTGCCACACTGAACCCAGTCTAAAACTTAACATTTAAAAACACATTGTTATNAATAACATATAGCTTACTTCAAAAACACTTTTCTTGTCCAAAATTAAAGCCATCTCAGTAACAGTCCCTGGAGTGCAGTTCTCTTCTCTGGCAGCACAAAGCATCAGAGAACAAGATACGCAGAATATTATGAATGCCAGTACAGATTTTATGGAAGGGCTCTATGGGACATTGATTGGGCTCCCTCTATGGAAACTCTATCGAACACGTAGCTATCGAAAACTAGAATCATCTCATGAAGTCATTTACAAGTAAGTAAACTGCAGATGAATCACCACTTAGGTACTTCTGATGAAATTCCATATTTCATTTGTGTTAACTGGACTTCTGTGTCATTACTTACAATATCACTATACCTTAAATAAACTGTGTGGTTATCTGCATTAATGTTTATATTCTTATTAAGCACTATAGTTTAAAAATGTTATTTCTCTGCACTAAATAAGAGAGACTTCAGAGTACACCCAGTGCTTGAGTATTTGGGTACAGGAAGTCTCCATGTTATAAAAAGTCAAAATTTCAGAATTTCATTCATAACCATTTTGTTCTGAGCTCAGTTGCTTACAGCCACAATTTAATAATTGGTGGTTATGTTACTCACCCTGCCTGCAGTGGCCTATTTAACCCATAATTAAGTTGAAGCATAGCATATTTATAATGAATAAAATTAAGCATTAATGAAACAAAGCAGATAATTAATGCAAGTAAATAACAAACAATTTCTTCTTTTGGCTTATTTTGGACTTCACCCATCGTCCAGTATATAAAAGGCAAAAAAAACCACGACGTTTCGGAGACTGGATCTGTCTCCATCTTCAGGTGGATAGGTAAGGTTTAACCTACTCAGTTGGGCCCCTTAGAAAGAGCTAGTCTCAATCACTGGACAAAGCTTGATCTGTAGAAACAACCTATGAACAACCGACAACTGGTTCCATCAGTGGGAGGAAAGAATAAAATCGCAGTAAAAACATGATAGAAAAATTTGTACCAAACATGCACTTGTCAACAATGTAAAGAAACAGAAGTATGGGTTATATTCCATGAATTCAGTTAAAAACGAAAGTAAAAACTGGATAAAGCATGCCTGATCTGCATAGCTAAAGAATCGTGTCACCATGGCGACTTCCGGGAATCAGACTAATCTCCGGAAAAAAACTTGCAGTAGTAGTGGAACCACTAATATTCATGAAATTACATTTTTTGGTTTATTAACCTCTTCATTGATGAGGGGGATCCATATAGGAGAAATATCCAAACTGGGTTGGCTGATCGGATTGGATGAACATGCCATATGAGCTGATTCTTTGTATTTCCTGTATCTACTGTTGCTTTCAATCTCCAAGATCCTAGCTTCATCCCAGCTGACCCTGTGACCTTCTTCATATGCATGCTGAGCCAACCTGGATTTCTCTAGAAGACCCTGCTTAAGATTGTGCTTGTGTTCACGGATTCGAACAGCCAGTGGTCTTCCTGTTTCACCAATGTAGCTTCTGCCACATTGACAGGGAATGCTGTAGACGCACTGTGCCGTGTGTTGAGGATCCCTTTTTGGTTTCGTTCTCACGAGCGAAGATCGTAAAGTGTGTTTAGTTTTGAAGACGGTTCTAATATTGTACTGGTTCCCTATGCGCTTGAACTTCTCAGAGATTCCCTTGACATACGGGATGTACACCGTGCCAAGAGGCTTTTCCTCTTTTTTCTTTTGACGACTACCGCCCTTGGACCTGATAACCGAGTCAATAAAGCCCTGAGAGTAACCACTCAGTTGAAGGTCGCGTTTCAAACTTTTAACCTCCAACACCCGGTCTTGCCGGTCTTGGCATATAGTGGTAGCTCTATCATGAAGGCTATGAACAATTCCTCTTTTGACATGCGGAGGGTGATTGGAATTGAAATTAAGATATCTGCCAGTGTGGGTGGGTTTTCTGTGAACTTTCGTGGTCAGAGCCGTCCCTTTCTTCATGACCAAAACATCCAAGAAGGGGATCGTTCCCTCCGATTCTATTTCCATGGTGAACTGGATAGCCGGTCTCAGACTGTTGAGGTGTGTAAGGAAGTTCTGTATCCCCTCTGCACCATGCGGCCAGATCACAAATGTGTCGTCCACATATCGGAGCCACAACGACGGTTTGTCCTGCGCTGAGTCGATAGCCAGTTGTTCAAAATGTTCCATGTAGATGTTGCTAACAACGGGAGAAAGGGAGCTACCCATTGCCATGCCATCCTTCTGCTGGTAGAATCCGTCGTCCCCTTGAAAGTAGGTGGTCCTCAGGCAGACATCCAGCAGTTCCATGATGGCTTCCACCTTCAGGACAGACCGTTCTGCCAACGTGTTATCGTTACTCAGCCTGCTTCTGATGACCTGAAGGGCTTCGTCGACTGGTACGTTGGTGAAAAGACTAACCACATCAAAACTGGCGAGCATATCATGTCTACGGAGATTAACAGACTTTAACAGTTCTATGAAATGTCCGGAATTCTTCACGAAGGAACCAGATCTGCCGGCCAAAGGGCTCAGTATTTTTTGTAGGAAGGCAGCCAAGGCGTAGCACGGGGAGCCAATTGAACTCACTATGGGTCTCAGTGGAATGCCTGGTTTGTGGATCTTGGGGAGACCATATAGGTGTGGGGGCTTGCTGTGGTATGGGGTAAGCTTTCGCTTTACCTCGGCCGGAAGGACAGTTTTGTATTGGGCAAGGATTTGCTGAACTCTTCTCTCAACACTGGCTGTCGGATCTTTTGCCAGGGGCTCATAAACTCCAGATTTCAGCAGGGTGTTAATTTTGTCCCTGTATTTTATTTCGTCTAGCACTACAGTGCAGTTGCCTTTGTCTGCTGGCAGGATTCTGATATCTTTGTTGAGCCTCAGGGACTTCACGGCTTTCAACTCCTCCTTGCTTATGTTGGAGGTGGGTGACTTGGACTTCTGCAACATAGACCTGACCTTCCATCTGAATTCCATTCCTAAAATGTGTGGGAGTTTTGTAATCACCGATTCAACAGCACATGCCATGTCTAAGTTGAAATGTGGATTTACTATGGAAAAATTCAAGCCCTTCCTAAGGACTGACTCCTCATGGTCTGTAAGACTAGCTCTTTCTAAGGGGCCCAACTGAGTAGGTTAAACCTTCCCTATCCACCTGAAGACGGAGACAGATCCAGTCTCCGAAACGTCGTGGTTTTTTTTGTCTTTTATATACCGGACGATGGGTGAAGTCCAAAATAAGCCAAAAGAAGTACAGTATACACCATCGTCAGAATCCTTTCAAGCCAAACAATTTCTTGTTTACTACTACTTACCTATATGCTGGTGATGCTTCTCACCTATGATTAGGGTCCCTTTGTAGCTCACTCTTCTCATTGCTCTTGCTTCAAAGTAGCATGATGAAATGAGAACACCTGATGTAAAACATGAAACCAAGGTATGCTCTGGCCACCAAAATAATTTCCTTAGAACAGTGACTAATTCATATGCATGAACAGGCATTTCCAAGACCAAATTATTAAAATACCAGCTGATCTATTTGGCATGGTCCAGGAATAATGCACACCTGTAATTAGGCATAGTTATTATGTTGAAAGAGTTGAAAAGATATTATGTTGACCTTAGTGATATTAATATGAGGTAATAGGATTGTAAGTACATTAACTAATCATTAAAACCTTGCTTTTTGCAAATTTTTAAAAACTGCCATTCACTTTGATAAAATTTAAAATTTAAATATCTCAACAACTATAGTGAAGGTTTTGATTTTCTTTCTTTGGTTTTTCTTTCAAAGCTCTGTCAAATGCAAGAAACCATAATACACATGAATGGTTCTCAAGCAGTAAGCAAAAAACTGCCTTCCTGTGGTTTGCCAGATTTGGTTTAATAGGTGCAATTATGTGAAGATGTCTGAAGAACCAACAAACAAACACATATACAGATTAATGCAGATGACAGCTACATTTGTTTATACAGATGTTCAAAGTACAACGTTTGTATAACCTGAAAAATTGCATAGATATGAGTATAAACCATGGCTGATATGAAGATCAGTAAAATATGTTCTGTTCTATGAAACCATGATTAATCTTCAACCATCATTGTGGTGGTTTACTTTTTCCCTTAATTTTTTAATTTAGAACAAATTATGCTATATTATATTATATGCTTTTGGCTTTCTAATTTTAATTCAAGACTGCTGAGGGTGCAATATACTTTTCAAACAGGTTATATGAATGTGCTATTAACATGTACTGGCTTTTAGTTCCAAGAATTTCATGTCATATGTTACAGGGTTTTAGAGAGCAGACTTCAAGGAATGAAGTGCAGATACATGGATAGTCCTGAGCAAATTGCATCAGCACATCCTTTTTTAGCTGCTATATTTAACAATCCAACACTGGAATGGAAGGATATCGTCATGCTGGGGATGGAGACCTTCCTTGGTGGAATTGATGCCGTTAGTGAAGTTAAATTTACAAAAGTCCTTGTAAAACAAATCTTTATTACTGTCTTATGTAGGATAACCAAGGGAAAGTGAGCAAAAAATGTTATAGACAAAGGAGATGATATAAACTTTTTAATATGCATATAACTTGGAGAGCCGAAAATTTGGAAAACACTTTACAGAGTGAGGGCTCCAAAATAGAACAACATAAATATTATGCCCATTCTGTGAATATTCTGAAGAGAAACTCTGCATAAATTGAGGAAATACACATAACATGGTAATGTGCAAAAGCTTTATGCATTCTTCCAGGGAGTCCATTAAAAAAAGGTTTGGCATTCTCCTTGAGGGAAGACTCCTTTCCACAATTGACTTAAACTATGTTCATGCCATTTAAATTAATTGCATCCTAACACTGTCACATCAGCTAATCACTTTTACATTTTTATAACTTTCTTTCTCTCTCAGTTTTCTATTCCTCTTCTTTTTTAATATTTTCTTTTAAATGCAAATCATACATTATGCTTTGGTACATTAAGCACACTTGAGGACATTTATTTTACTACATTCTACAGCAGTAGATGTGGCAGTGGGTTTATGTCTGTGTCTACAGGGGATTTTGTGAGTTATTGATCCAACAGTTCCACACATATAAGGCTCTCTACAGACTGTATCTTTGTTTTGTTTGTCATTTATGTGTAACCTAACATGAACTTCTTTCATGTAGTAGGCTAAAAAATATAAGCATAATGTATATCATACCATCTATCAACAGACAGCCACCACAATGGCCATGACATTTCACTACCTGGCAGCTAATCCTGAAATTCAGCAGCAAGCATATGAAAAGGTTTTAAGACAAGACTCATCCCAGGAGATGTCCTTTCTACGAGCCTGCATCAAGGAGACACTCCGACTTTCTTCCACTGCTGGTGCTAATAGCCGCTTCTTGGCGAAAGATGCAAATATTGGAGGCTATCTTGTACCTGCTGGAGTTAGTTGCTACATTTTTACCTATATTATGTATAAAGGAATGATTTTTTTTAATATATATAAATGAAAGTGTAGAAAAATACAGTTTTTGCCATGATTTTATCTAACTCTGAAACCTTTTGGTTCTGCTATTCCAGACACTGGTGTATGCATTCAATTCTGTAACTTCATTAGATGAAAAATACTTTGTTGAACCATTAAAGTATCTGCCAGAGCGCTGGCTACGAGAATCTTCAACAAGCAAAGGTCATCCTTTTGCATCTCTGCCATTTGGCTATGGTCCCAGAATGTGCCCTGGACAACGCTTGGCGGAACAAGAAATGGTGATATTACTAGCAGAGGTATGTCATTTCATTTTTGCATACATCTTAGTTATAATGTGGATGTGGTTAAACATTTAAAGTACAGTAGTTACTGTATTTACCATTCACTTTAACTGTGCACTTTCTTCACACGTATTCAATGTTTCAGAATAAACAACAACTATTTCCCTAACCAACTTGTAATATGCAGATGTAGTAAACATGTTGTATGGTAGGAAATGAATATTTAAATCTTGTTCAGAAGAAATTTGCACTTCACTGGTTAAATATGTTTCAAACAGGCAGTACCATTGAAGATGGTTCATAAGCTGATACACTTCTTATATTGAATTTAAAATAATTTCCTGTGATAAGCATAAATTATCAATTACAATTGATTTGCTCAATATCAGCTCTACATGTTATAAACATTCTCAAACAGGTGTTGAGAAAGTATCACCTGGAATCTGCAGACCACACACCAAAGCCAGTAGGGATGGTTTATCGCATGAACCGAGTACCTGACAGGCCCATCAACCTATGCTTCCGGAATCGAAGAGTATAGAAGAGGCACTATGAGAAACTACCTTGATTCTGTAGGGTTTGATGTTCTCACAACTGTGTTCATTCCTTCTGGGATGTAATGCTATGTAGACCATTGAAAGTCAAACAACATTTCAGAGGAACATGTCGCCTCCATCTTCAGGGTTGAAGAGTAAGGCAAGCAAGAAACCAGCATGAGGCAGCCAGTAAGCAGAGCTCTGAATTATCAGTTGACTTTCAACAGATTACACAACATTATATCACAGAAAATAGAACTCTTCTTAACTTGATTCTTTTTAGACAGCTTACCTATGAACTGTTGCTCAATGGAATATTTAAAGTGATATCCTTCTGTTTCATGATGATGTGTATGAAGTTTTTTCTTTCTTGCTAGTGGGGTGGGACTAAGTCCCTTGTACTGCGGCCACTTCTGGCCTACTGTACCAGCCCCGGATGTCAGGTAAGGGTGATTGTGGAGAAATTGGTGGAATGAAGATTGGGAAGGGAAACTGAAGTACTCGGAGAAAACCTGTCCCAGTGCCACTGTGTCCACCACAAATCCCACTTGACCAGACCCGGGATCGAACCTGGGTCGCCACAGTGGGAAGCCAGCGACTAACCTCTTGAGCTATGGCGTGGCCTATGTGTATGAAGTTAAAAGAGTTTAATTCATCTGTTTGCACAAAGTACTTGAAATGTGTGTATCATTGTTAAAACCTATTTTTAGTATTATGTTAGAATATATCTTATGCTGCATATCTACTTTTGTACCATCCCTATATTGTCTTTTTACTTTTTTTATCAAATACACAATATTTGAAATAATATCATGTTATATGTTCTCTTACACATCAATGAACAAGATTAACTTTGATTTTATTATTTATAAATAGTGTAACAGTCACTGAGAATTCAGTAGGAAGTCTCACTGTTTGTTATGTAAGCTTCTGTACTATTAACTTTCCCTACTTTCTCTTGTATGCCTTTCCAGTACTACATATTATCAAATGATGCATCAAGATAGATGTTTAATGCCATCTCACATATACATATAACATGCACAAATAGTCAGTCATAAGCCATCTGCTTTGTATGATATACTATACTGCACATATCCATATCAGAACTCATAGAACAGACATAATACACTGAAATGAAAGACCACTTGCTGATTTGTGACCTACTGTATAATTCACATTCAAGCAATGCATTAACACCCAATAGTTACGCATGTTACGCGATTAGAGCCCTAAAATCTTACATGTCTCAGGGTACATTAAGAATGATTTACTTTTCTTACTTCCATTCAATTATGACCTATGGTTTGGTTATTTTGGGTAATTCCCCTTATAGTATACATATCTTTGGGTTACAAAAAAGGGCAATTAGAATTATAATGAAGTCTGGGAACAGAGATTCATGTAGGGAATTGTTCAGGGAACTGGAAATTTTACCCCTTCAATCTGAGTATATATTTTCTCTTGCAATGTTCGTGGTTAATAATAAAGATCAATTTAAGTTAAATTCTGAGTTATATAATAGGAATACAAGATATAATAATAAATTCCATTATCCTACATGTAAGTTGACTGTTTTTCAGAAAGGAGTGTATTACCATGATATTAAGGTTTTTAATTGGCTTCCTCCTAATATAAGGAACCTGGCTCAAGATGTTAAACATTTTAAAATTGTTTTAAGAAGATTTTTGTTGATGAACTCGTTTTATTCCTTGGAAGAATACTTTGATTGTAAATTTGACTCCAATAATTGTGATCTATTATGGTACTGAATAATGTAATGAGTCTTATATTGTTATTTCTATGTAGTGTTATTTGTACTATCAATGACTAATTCCTTATCCTATATGTAATGGATTTATGGAATGTAAATAAATGAGATGAGATATGAATATTTGTGTAATTCACGGTAAATCTGGGCAATGGTTTAAACAAAATTTTAATGATAGAAAGCAAACAGTAAAAATTAAATTTCCAAATTCAAACTATAACACATATTCAAGTAAAACATGAAGTTTCTCATTCAGTACTTGACCTCCTTTTTCTCATATATATCAGTAATCTACTCTCAGCTATCAGTTATGAGACCAAATTATATTCTTTGCTGATGATACTAGTACTATCATTTATAATCCTGAAAGTGACTACTTTCACAATTGCATTAATAATTTTTCTACTGGGTTGAACAGATAGTTAAAAGACAGTAAATTTACATTAACTTTTGACAAAATAAACTTCATGAAGAGTACTATCTTCTTTAACAAGTAGTACTATCATCAGGAAAGGCATATACACATGCAAGTAGCTGGCTACTTCTAACACTTAACCAGATGAAACATGGTGTCATATCTTCGAGTGAGGCACTCAGTTCTTTCCACACATTAGGCACCTAATGATAATTAAGCCAGCCAATCTGAACACGTTACCCTTCTAATTTCTATGAACGCCAAGATTATAAATTTTATACCCAGTAGGGATTTGTATGTTGTGTTGAATACAGAAACTAATTATTATCTCTGTGAAGTGGAAAAATGAATATCTAGGAGGAAACCCTAGAGAAAAGAAAATTATTGTGAAGACTTGCTCATTCAAGAAGAAAAACAATTATTTATAAGAACAAAGGATCTACTCCTCTGTAAATAGTAACTGCAAGGACAACAAAAGCAGTTGGAAAAAGTGAATGCATGGTGAAAACATGCAGGGACTTTTAAAATGCAGAAAATTGTGGAGAAGTTTCAATGCCCCCAAATTTTCAACATGCAAAAAAGAAAACGTTAGATTACTTCAAAAAGTGTGTTGCGTCTAGAAAATATTCAGAATATTATGAACTAAAAGAAGTTTCAACTTTGCACACTTCCCATCTTTGTAAAGAATGAAATTGTATTTCAGAGAAGGAAAGAAACTTTCAATTTATCTTATATTTACAGATCAATTCTTACACACATCACAGTTTAATTGTAATTCAGTATAAAAATGGTTCTGTTTCCAGCCTGACAGAGAACAAGGCTTAGAAACTATTACAAGAACAAGGTTCAACATATAACTCAAATAAAAAAGTCTTTTACTGCCATGGTTGCACGGGCACTTTCAGTTAATTTCACTCTCTGGTACCATGTGTAATCTCATACTTAAACTGTTCTGAGGGAGATGATTTTTTGCGGTGTTGTTGGTAGACATGTACACGCAGACAGCTGCGGTTCTTCACCTGCTTACCACACTGCAAACATGAAAAAGGTCCTTGATCCACACTGTGGACATCACGGATATGAACTTTGAGGTTGAACTTGTTGACAAAAACACGAGGACATAATGGGCACTTTGTGCATGGGCTCAGTAGACCACTGACACTCCCTGCAGACAACCAGCCTGAAACAACATAGACACACACATCACACTATTTCACACAAAATGAGTAATCGTTTTCCTTCTAAGGCACTTAAGATCTTCTCATTTTACGTTCATCCAAAGTCCCTTTCTTGCAAAATATAATCTGGTTATTTCAAAATTTGATGATGATAAAAAACAGTGATGATAATAAGACTCTCAACCTTAGTTAGAAAATTATACATAATCTAAATAAAAAATTATTACCAACTACATTTCCTTAAAAGGAAACTAGAAATCCAATATGAAGATGTGATGTTTGGATCAAATTATGACTAACAGAACAGTACAGTGTGTTCTAACTTCATGTTCTGTGTAGTTTGCAGCACACACATTGTGCAAGAAGCTGGGAAAGTATGCCTGGGTTAATATAGACGTTCAGTGAGCATACATAAAAATCAAATCAGACTTCCTGAATCCAGAAGCATGGTACCACAGGGACTGCACTTAAAAAATGGTGCTACTTGTTTACAGATTTGGTGCTCTTGAATTTCATCTCATGTTTCTTAAATGTATGACTCAAATGCTGAAGGTTTGGTTGTCATAAAAAATAAACATCCAAGCAACAGCATACATGTAACTGAGATATATTTTGAAATATGTATATTGTTAAATTAAATGAACAAGTAAAATGAACAATGCTAATTGTAGACTATCTAAGAGATTTAAAAATAACATTTTAATCATATACCACGCAATTTTTCATATTTGTTTTGGATAATATAGCTCCCTCTACTTCATTCTGAAACACCAAAACATATTCTATTACATCAGAAGCCATGTTTTCTTATATAATTTCCACCAGATTATCTTATTACTCACTCATCTCCGCCTTTAAGGCAACCTGAAACTGTTCACAATCTCTCTTTAATTTAAAATAACATCAAAATCGCATAAATTGCCATATGTTTCGGTCCTACTTGGCCATCTTCAGGCAGAAACTATTGCCCTACACTAGATTGTAAGCCCATATATTTCCATCCTGTTGCATATTGTTGTTCACACCAAAACGTGTTTGTTTGAGAATAAAGCCCTCTCCATTCCACATTAGTTTCCCTTTGCAGCATCCATGTTTGTGCCCCCTCCATATGTATATTCTCACTAGTTTCTTAACATATTCTAGTGTGAAAAACGATTTGCAACAGCACGGAAATATATTGACTTACAATCTTGTACACTGTGACGGTTTCAAAAGGTGAACAATTGCTAGTAGATGGCCAAGCAGGGCCGAAACATGTAGCAATTGATGTGATTTTGATGTTATATTAATCATAGAGAGATTGTAAACAGTTTTAACTTCCATTAAAGACAGAGGTGAGTAAGTGAGTGAGTCTTATATAAATCTGACAGATACATATGATTTTATATTCATCTTACCAATTGGCAATTTTTTAACTCATGATAAGATAAACTAATAAGAGAGTTCAAATGTCTGCAACGTGATCATGTGCTATTCACTGTGGTGGTTTCCACAGAAAATGTGCACTGCCAATAACAAAAATTGGTCATGCATGAACAGCAAAAGAAAATAAGCAATATCAGTTGTTTAAAACACATACATTATCACAGAGTCATGAAGCTGCATCTATTGTTCTACCATCTTGTGCATAATCTATTCTTAAATATGCAACATCACTTTTAATATATGTTTATTTGAAGATTATTATTTTGTTTGGGTTTTATTTAATAATGCTTTCAATAGCTGAACTAAATAGCGTTGAATGGATGGATGACAGAAGAAAGATAATTTGGAAAGTATCTGGAAGGAAGTGATCAAGGCCTAATCAAGTACTATCCTGGAATTTGTCCAAAGGTACTGAAGAAAGCCATGAAAACCATATGTCATGGTGGCTGATGTTCCAGCCAAGATTCAAACCAAGCAGCTCCAAAATATGAATCAAGACTAATGCCGCTACCCATTCAGTACTCCTGGGAGAGAACTCTCTCACCTCTCATATTACAAAATTAAGGTCATATAAAATCTAGTATTGATATCAGTTCTCAGTTCTACATATGAACAGTTCCCTCAGTCATTAATG